GCATCGAAATCGGGTGGGCTGAAGAAATGTTGCAATAGGCACAAAATATGTCAGCTACATAAGGTAACAAAACTGGCACATAACTCACCACATGCCTCACATACAGCCCTGCTGTTACTGTACCCCTTCCTCCACTACCTAAAAGCAAGGGCAAATTGCCCAGAGGCATAAACAAAAGCATCATCTCAAACCATTGTATAAGGGATCTAAAACATATTCCAGGCTATAAGAAAAGGAAACAGAATAGATACAAAGATAACGTAAGGAAACAAAAGTGAATAGAGAGATTTATATTCATAATGAACTAGTTTACAAAATAAAGAAATCAGGAGGTAAAAGAGATAGTGCCCATTCAACTGAGACACAGCATTCCCATAACCATTTAACCTGGTAACTAAGGACAAACTTCACGCACTTGAAGTGATCCTGCAACGAGACATTAAAGTCAAAGGCGTCTCCCCGATCTGTGAAGCCAATGCCGATGAAAGCACTACGCCCTGCGAAAAAGAAAGAAATACTCAGAAGCAGAAGTGTCCCCTACAACAAAGTCTGCCCAGTGAAAANAAAAAGAAAGAAATACTCAGAAGCAGAAGTGTCCCCTACAACAAAGTCTGCCCAGTGAAAAAACAGCAGTTACCTCAACTAGACAAAGTGTGTAATTGTGAAACATTTTGTTACAGAGTAGGAGTCAGCAAACTACATATAGCCCATGGGCCAAATCCTGTCATAGCTTGTTTTGTAAGTAAGTTTTACTGGAACATAGCCACATCAATTTGTTTACATATTGTCTGTGACTGCTTTCACACTACAACAGCAAAACTGAGTAGTTGCAACAGAGACCATCTGACCTACAAAACCTAAAATATTTACTATCTGTCTTTGTTTGGCAACTTCTGTTATAGACTAAGGAGAAAAGATTGAGAATTATTGCCCTACACATAGATAATTCAAGATAATCCCACCAAAAACCACCGCAAACAATAAATGGGAAAAATGCGTTACATGTGCATTTTGATTTATTTAATTCTACCTCTGAATTACCACGTCTTGAACTTGTGTTTGTATCTATTACAAATAACATGTTAATCCTTCTCCTTCAGCAACTACAGTAACTCTGGAAAAAGGGGAAGAAAAAAACTAGTAAACTGAGGTAAGATAAATGTCAGGACACACTTTCACTGAAGTGCACTGACTATTTTCCTAACCTCTTTCCATTCAAAATCCCAGATCCCTTACCAGTACCATCCTGGATCCGGATTACAAAGTAGCGGCTGGAATCTGTTACTGTCTCCACAGCAATACCAGGATATTGTTCTACTGGTGCCTGAGCAAAGAGCTCTCCTAACAGATAAGAAAAAGAATCCTTTGAGGAAAGAAAGCAAAAATCTAGAACTCCAATTAACTAGTATTTTTCACTCCAGCCCCCAACTTGAAGGTACTTATAAAAGCACACCAAACCAATATCCTTAATATGTCAGAAGGTCAACTGGAACAGATTACCTGATACCTTGTCCTCGAGTTTGATGTAGGCAATCTTCCCTTTTGAAGTGATTCGGAGGCGACCAGTCCAATCGGGCTGGTCTAATTTCCAGTCAGATGCCCTAGGATAGGAAAATAGGAAGCCTCAGGCCTCAGGTGCTTGTCTTTAATAAACTAAAGCCTACTCAGAATCATTTGCTGTATTTCTGTTTCCCTGTCCTGGACTGCCAATTCTTTCTACCTATAAAATAATCAGGAAGACTAACTGATGATCTCCTCTGTACAGATGCTTCATGTGAAATATAGTCCAATGCAAGTAAGACAATGTTACTGTTTGAGGATTTTGGAGTATAATAAGCATCAATAAAAACATGTAAAAGTACGAAGTAAAAGTAATTAAAAAAATAAAATTTCTCATAATGATGCTGTTTTCATACTGCGATGATATTCTATATAACACTGCTTTACTATCAGGTAATAACAAAGTCTACTAAATGAAATATCCTGGGTAAATCACTTCCCAAACTCTCTAAACATATTATTATCTTTCATTGAATTCAACCAATATTTACAGAGTCACAGGCACTATTCTAGGTGCTTGGGATATAATAGCAAACCATACAAAGATTCCTGCCCTCATGAGGCTTACATTCTAATAGAAGATAGACAATAAAAAAGAAACATAATAAATAAGTTAATTAGCATCTCAGAAGGTGGTAAGTTCTGATTTGTTAGCAGCTGGCCAGTACAGGGATCCAAACCTGTGACCTTTGTGTTATAACACCATGCTCTGACCAACTCAGCTAACCAGCCAGCCCCAGAAGGTGATAAGCTCTAAGGTAAAAAGAAAAAGTCAGGCAGATAAGGAAGACTGGGATAAGTTCTGATTTGTTAGCAGCTGGCCAGTACAGGGATCCAAACCTGTGACCTTTGTGTTATAACACCAAGCTCTGACCAACTCAGCTAACCAGCCTGCCCCAGAAGGTGATAAGCTCTAAGGTAAAAAGAAAAAGTCAGGCAGATAAGGAAGACTGGGAGGGTAGTGGGAGTGTGAACGGGTTGTAGCATTCAAGAGGGTGGTCAGGGTAGGCCTCATTAAGAGGGCGGAATGTGGGGGCCGGCCCGGTGGCGCACTGGAGCGTGCTCTGCTTGGGAGCGCCGCGGCGCTACCTCCGCGGGTTCGGATCCCATGTGAAGACCGGTTCCCACTCACAGGCGCGACACCGAGGGTTGCGATCCCGTTACCGGTCAGTAAAAAAAAAAAAAAAAGAAGGCGGAATGTGAGCAAAAACGTGAAGCAAGTGAGGGGGTAACCCATGCAGATGGTGGGGCGGGGGTGGAGGGGAGCACTTTAGCACAGGGACGACTAGTGCAAGGTGCTAAGGGTGGAGCATGCCTGGTATGTTTTGGAGGGCAGCAGGGAAGTCACTGTGGTTAGAACAGAGCAAGAGACAAGGTGGGAGAGGTAACAGAGGACCAGATCATGTAGGGCCTTTCAGGCCATTGTAAGAACTTTGACTTTTACTCTGAGTGAAAGAGGAGCCATTACAAGTTTTATGCAGACATGTGATATGAGCTCCCTTACATTTTAAAAGGATTATTTTGTCTGATGTATAGAGAAGAGATGTTGAGGGCCAAAGCAGGAGGATTAGTTAACAGACTATTACAGTAATCTGTAATAGAAGGGACAGTAGAGAAGTGGCTAGATTTTGGATATATTTAAGGTAAAGGCAGCAGGATTTTTTAATGCATTGGATGTGGGGTACAAGAGAAAAAGGAAAGTCAAGGATGACTCCAAGGTTTTTAGCCTGAGCAAAGGAGTTACCAATAATTGAGATGAGGAAGGCTACAAGTGGAACATGTCTGGGAAGAAAGATCAGGGGGTTCAGTTTTGGATATGCTGAGTTTGAGATGTCTGTTAGATTTTCAAGAGAGATACAGAGTAGGCAATTGAATACATGAGACTGGAGTTCACGAAAGACATCTGAGCTGGAGATACAAATGTCCATGAAAACATTGGAAAACACTGAATATTTATAAACTGTGCTATAAATGAACTTGAATGAAATCTAAGCTATTATTTATGACCAATTTTACAAAACATTGCATTTGTAATTTTCTTTGCTGGGAGTGTAGAAGAGGGAGAGTAAAGTAAAAATTATGAATAATTCATCCCTTAGGAACCTAGAGACTACTGCTTGCAGGCTAGAAGAGTAACGATACGGCATATCTGAACGAGAATGAGTTTAATAAAGTGGTGAACGAAAGGCTGAAAGGCAGAAAGTGAACATTAAAATTAGCATAGGTTTTGAACAGGATCTGTTAGACAAATCCTTGTCACTCTTTTCCCTCTTAATGCCCTGTCCTCAAAGATCCTCAAGTACCAGAATCTAATCCAGATTAGAGCACTCTAAAGGTCTCCATCTGTCTTAGTCCATTTCTGTTGCTTGTAACAAAAATCCTGGGAACAGGTGATTTATAAGGTAACAATATTTATTGCTTACAGTTTCTGAGGCTGGGAAGTCCAAAGCCCAGGAAACACATCTGGTGAAGGACTTGGTACTAGAAACAGTGACTCAGGGGTCTCACATGACAGAAAATGGCAGAGCACAGACAGAGAAACTCTCACATGCTCTCCTTTTAATGCCCTCAGAACTAGGCCCCTGACCACCATTATTAATCCATTCACTACAGCACGGTCCCACCATCTGATCACCTCTTCAAGGCCTAACCTTTTAATTACCCTAATAGGATAAGCTTCTAATATATGAACTTTGGGGGGCACAATTCAATCAATCCACAGCACCATCTATTAAATTTTTTGAAATGAGTTGTTATTTATTTATTTTTCTAGTCATACCAAAAACAGGAAAAAGCCTACTAGGTGCGTTTCTTTGCACAGGTTCTTTATCTTATATATCTTGTGTATCTAGTGTCCAATATTTAACAAATTATCAGTAAATGAATGGATATTCACGGCAACAGTTTCCCTCAGCCTTGGGCCTTAGTTCCTCTCCTCCTCAAAGATCTAGCCGAAAGAACTCTTGGTTTTTCTGGTCTTCTGACAATACCCTAAATTAGCAGTAAAACTTATATACAAATCATTATTATGATTCACAGTGACATTCTACATGCATATTTTATTGAATGCTTTACAGCAGTCATATGGAATAGGCACAAAAAGCCTATTATACCTCTTTCCCCCTCTAAATGAAGAAAAGAATAATAACACAGTAAATAATAATGCCTAACTTCCAAATCTAGTATTCTTTTCATTACATTAAAACACACTATAGAGTTTAATATAGATTTAGCTAGGACAGGAGGGTAGTAATGAATTTTTTAAAAAACAGTTTTATAGGTTGGAAAACCATTTTTTACTCATTTATAAGTTTCTCATCAACCTACATTTTCCTTCTTAGTCCAAAAGACTGCTCATTGAAAGTCTGAGAAGTGCAGTTTAAACTAGGTGAATAAAAACCTTTTTTCCCTTTGATTTTTTTTTTCTTTTTTTTTTTTTTTTTTTGGTCCTTTGATCTTATTAGTCACTCAAAGGAAGGATTCCTCCTGCTAGCTAAAAAGCCCAGTTTGTCCTCTAATGGCAGCCTAGGGAATAAATTACACTCATAATGTAAAATGGGTTTGGGTAAACAAGAAAGATTATGCAGACAAAAAGTCAGAAAAGTAACATTTATCAAGTATCTATTTTGTGCCAGGCATTATGACTCTTCTTGTGAAAATTAAGTGAGAGGATCTTGCAAGGTAAGTATTGTTATATCCATTTTTTTTTTTTTTGGTCCTTTTTGAGACCGGCCGCACCACGCTCAGCCAGTGAGCGCTGTGAGCGCACCGGCCATCCCTATATAGGATCCAAACCCGCGGTAGGAGCACTGCTGCGCTCCCAGCACCTAGGAGCGCTGCTGCGCTCCCAGCACCGCACTCTCCTGAGTGCACCACGGGCTCGGCCCTATATCCATTTTTAAAGATGAAGAAACTGAAATTCAAAAGAGTTAAGTGATTTGCCAAAGATAATCCAGCAAATAAATGAAGAGTCACAACTCAAACTTAGCTCTGCTCTCTTTATTCACTTTACTAAAAGAGTAGCTGATGATAAAATTCCTCTTTGAGGATAAGAAATGTCAGTAATAAGCATAGAAAACACAGAAGGATACTGGAGAAAAGAGGAAAATTAAGAAATTGCTTTGATGGCTCAGTGCAGTTAACTGATACAAGGACAAGAGCTGTGGATAAACTAGGAAGTGAAAGCAGAGAACGCAGATGAATAAGAGAGGGGAGGTGTTTAAAACAGCTTGAAGTGAAAAAAAAAGAATACACGGGTACTTCAAAAAGTTCATGGAAAAATAGAATTTAAAAAAAAAAATGAATATTTCCATGGACTTTTTGAAGTACCCTCATAGAACCCCACTTCAAAGTGTATCATATCCTTAGGAAGTCTTAATTCCTAAAGTTAGAAGTCATAAGCTATTTTACCTTATTTAACAGTTCAATCAATGCTAACTTATGTGATTAGGTTTATCTGTGTAATTTACTAATTTCTTCTCTCGCTCAACATTCAATGTTAACTTATGTGATTAGGTTTATCTGTGTAATTTACTAATTTCTTCTCTCGCTCAACATTTACGCAGTGCTCACTATGTGCCAGACACTGTGCTAGACCCCGGAAATACAAAAGTTAAAAAGACCTTGAGTTGTTCACAGTCTAGTCTGGAGAAAGAGGAGATGAAACAATCCATTAAAGTAGAGAATGAAGAGCACTGTAATGAAGACAAGCGTAGGATAGTACAGAAGCACATAAAGAGCACACCTAAGCCAGAATGCAAGGGCCGGGCAGGGCTTCCCAAAGAAGGTGATGTCTGAGGTGAGTCATACTTATACAGTACCTGTGACTGCCATCAAAAGGCATGTTGATTCCTATTCATGGTCAATTTGGGGTCTGATCGAAAGCTTCTAGGAAGTAGAACTACCTCTTTGCCAAAAGGCAGACCACACAGGATCCAGTGCACAGGTCAGCAAGCACAAAGGTATTGATTCAGGTTGAATGAACCTCTGGTAAGGAAGCAAAATAATGGACATAAGGACAGGATCACTTTTCAGCCAAGGTAATTATAAATGCCAAGAGGGAAACCATGATGATGTGGATCAGAGAGAATAAGAACAGCATCTTAAATTTATAACTACTTTAGTGTTTCCTACTGTTGTGGGTTGAATGCCCCCCCAAACTTACTGAAGCTTGAATTATGTCTCCCAAAGCTCCAGATATTAGAAATGTAGCCCCCATTGTGACAGTGTTAAGAGGGTGGGAAATCCTATTATAATAATTAAAAGGTGGGGCCTTGATGAGATTGTAGGACCATGCCATAATGAATGGATTAATAATGTGCTCAAGGGCGTGGTTCTGAGTGCTTTAAAAGAAGAGCACTCTCTCTCTGCTCCACCATTTTCTGCCCTGCGAGATTCCTGCATTGTTGTAAAGCCACTACCAAAGTAGACCTTCACGGATGTGTTCCCTGAACTTTGGACTTCCCAGCCTCAGAAACTGTAAGCAATAAATTTTCTTTTCTTACAAATCACCCAATTCCAACTATTTTGTAATAAGCAATAGAAACAGACTAATAAAGAAAATTGGTACCAGATAAGTGGGGAGTTGCTTATAACAAATACTTGAAAATGTGGAACTGGCTTTGGAACAGGGTGTTGGGGAGAGGCTAGAAGAATTTGAAGGAGCAGGCTAGAAAAAACCTAGCTGCTGGTGGGAGTTGAGAAGACAAGAAAACCAGGGAAAGTTTGGAACTTCTTAGAGATTGGTTAAGTGATGGTGAGCAGAATGCTGATAGAAATATGGACAGTAAAAGCCATTCTGAGAAGATCTCAGATGTAGATGAGAAGGAGCTTTTAGGAAACTGGGGCAAAGATCACCCCTGCTATGAACTAGCAAGGAACTGGGCTGCATTGTGTCCATGCCCTAGGACTTTGTGGCAGTTGGAGGTTAAGAGTTGTGAAACAGAGTATTCGGTGGAAGAAATTTAAAAGCAGCAAAATATTCAGGAAGCTGAATGGCTACTTATAACAGCTTATGCTGATTTACAGTGGCAAAGGCATGACAGAAAGCCAGAATTTATAACTAAAAGGAAAGCACAGTGTAAAGATTTGGAAAATGTGCAGGCTATCCATTTAGTAAAGAAGCAGAGAGCATTTTTAGGAGAAAAATTCAATGGTGTATGACCACTGACTAAGGAAATTAGTGTAGAAGAAAGGGATTCCCAAGAGAAGAGAAAAAAGACCTTGAAGACATTTCAGATACCTTGGAGGCCTCACCTTCCATTACAGGCCCAGAGACCCAGGGAGACAGAAAAGTCTTGGGGAACAAGCCCAAGGCACTCTCCTCAGGCTTACTTCCTAGGGCCAGCTCAGGATGTTGCTCCCCATACCAGCACCCCAGTTGATTTGGCTGCTGCAGGTGTGCCTAAATTGGCCCCAGGTATGGCTGCACCCACAGTTTTAGAATATATAAGCCAGATGCCTTAGCAAAGTCCAATTTCTTTTTTTTTTTTTTCTTTTTTGTGACCGGTAAGGGGATCATAACCCTTGGCTTGGTGTCGCCCGCACCGCGCTCAGCCAGTGAGCACACCAGCCATCCCTATATAGGATCCAAACCCGTGGCCTCCAGCACCGCACTCTCCTGAGTGAGCCACAGGGTCAGCCTGCAAAGTCCAATTTCAACGGATGTATGGAAAAGCCTGGGAGTCCAGAAAGAGATCTGTTTCAGGGGCAGACTCATCACATAGAGCCTTCACTAGAGCAATACTGAGTGGAAAGACAGGGTCAGAGTTGCAGCAGAGAAACCCCACCAGCACAAAGCCTACTGGAGCCCTGAGAGCAGAATCGCCATGGAGACCCCAGAATTATGGAGCTACCAGCATACAACACCAGCCTGTGAGAGCTAAAGCATTGCTTGAGACCATAAAAGCCACAGAAGCAGAGTTGCCTGAGGACTCAGAGGTCCAATAACTGCACCAGCATGCAGGGAAGATGACATCAAGATACATGATTCACCAGCCTTAAGATTTAATTCCTGCCCTGCTGGGTTTCAGACTTGCTTAAGGCCTGTTACTCCATTCTTTTGGCCTATTTCTCCCTTTTTGAATAGGAATGTGTACCCTGTGTTTGTCCTACCATTGTACCTTGGCAGTAGATTACCTGTTTTGTTTTCACAGATGGGACCTTGAAGACTTTGGACCTTTGAGTTGAAACAAGTTAAGACTTCGGGGTCTTTGAATGTATTTGTATGGGAAAAGGACATGAGTTTTGGAGGGCCAGGGGCAGAATGCTATGGATTGAATGCCCTCCAAAATTCGTTGAACCTTAAATTGTGTCCCCCAAATTTCCAGGTGTTGGAAACTTGGCCCCCACTATGACTGCTGGGAGAGTGGGAAATCCTATTATGGTAATTGAAAGGTGTAGCCTTGAAGAGGTGATTAGATTGTAGGACCCTGCCATAGTGAATGGATTGATAACGGTGGTCAGGGGTGTGCTTCTGAGGGCTTTAAAGGGACAGCACGTGAGAGTCTCTCTTTCTCTGTTCCACAGTTCTTCCATGTGAGACCCCTGCTTTAATGCTGAGGAAGATCCTCACCAGATGTGTTCCCTGGACTTTGGACTTAGCCTCTGAAATGGCAAGCAATAATTTCATTTTCTTATAAATTACCCAGTTCCAGGTATTTTGTTATAGGCAAAAGAAACAGACTAATACACCTACATTCTTTCACATCCATTATATGATTTCATTTTATCCTCCAAAAATCGCTGTGAGGTACATAAGAGCAAACGTTATTATCACTAACTTTTTTTTTTCTATTTATCGTTAACTTTTTTTTCCTATTTTACAGATGAGAAAACTGAGGGTTGGAGAAGTTAAGCGATTTGCCCCCAAATTACAGAGCTATTAAATAGCCAGGGCTCATACTCATATTTTTTTAACACATAACCCAGTGAATTCTCTTCCAACTACGTAACATTCTACAGCATCCTCAGACCCTCACAGTCGCTGGATTACAAGGTGGAGTAAGGCATTAACAGAGAACTGCTGTGTTAACTCTGGAGGGAAAAGCTATAGAAGAGGTTAAGAGGGGAGGGAGGGAAGAAAGGCAGAAAATATTATATATTCATAAGAAATATACAATGAAAAGGAACAAAACAGACAACTATTGGAAAACGTATGATTATAAACTTTGCCCACTGACAAAACAACTGAAAGAAAAACCGAGTGGCAGATGATGATATCTGGTGACAACAGTACAAAAGACACATTAGATCACCCAGAGGGTGGCCAGCAATACAGTGATTACCCACAAGCATGCACGGGGTATTGGAAATGTGTGTGAGAGAGGAAGAGGATGACGAGCTGAAGGACGGCGGAAAGAGCGAACGGAGGGTGACTGGTGCTGGAGCAGGCACGGCTGGATGTGGATGACGGGCAGCAGATGGATGTCCCAGAGGGACACGGGGGAAGAGGGATAGGCTGATGCAGGATGGTAATTAAATTAAAAAAAAAATTTTTTAAGCGGCGGAAACAAGGACGATAACAGTGCAGGTGAAGGTAGAGCAGGATGACCGGGAGATGACAACCCAGGTGGGGAAACTAACAAGGTGACAACCAGAGGTGACAGTGGCGGAGACGGGCAGCGTGCCAAGGAGGAAACTGTCACCCGTGACGGGGTTCGCGTGTGCGGCATTGCCACGAGAGTAGTACCTGTAACCGCGGTTGGAGGCCCGGGGCGGGATCCGGTAGACGCTGACGTCCGGCTTCACACACAGCACAGACTCGTACTCCGACTCGGCCGCCATCTTGGCTCCGCTCTCGGCGCCAGCGGGGGCGGGGATAAGGCCGGGGGCGGGGCGTGGGGGCGGGGAGTGGCGATGCGTGACCACTTCCGCTGCGCCGCTTCCGCCACTCTGGAGGGAAAAGCTATAGAAGAGGTTAAGAGGGGAGGGAGGGAAGAAAGGCAGAAAATATTATATATTCATAAGAAATATACAATGAAAAGGAACAAAACAGACAACTATTGGAAAACGTATGATTATAAACTTTGCCCACTGACAAAACAACTGAAAGAAAAACCGAGTGGCAGATGATGATATCTGGTGACAACAGTACAAAAGACACATTAGATCACCCAGAGGGTGGCCAGCAATACAGTGATTACCCACAAGCATGCACGGGGTATTGGAAATGTGTGTGAGAGAGGAAGAGGATGACGAGCTGAAGGACGGCGGAAAGAGCGAACGGAGGGTGACTGGTGCTGGAGCAGGCACGGCTGGATGTGGATGACGGGCAGCAGATGGATGTCCCAGAGGGACACGGGGGAAGAGGGATAGGCTGATGCAGGATGGTAATTAAATTAAAAAAAAAATTTTTTAAGCGGCGGAAACAAGGACGATAACAGTGCAGGTGAAGGTAGAGCAGGATGACCGGGAGATGACAAACCCAGGTGGGGAAACTAACGAGGTGACAACCAGAGGTGACAGTGGCGGGGGCGGGCAGCGTGCCAAGGAGGAAACTGTCACCCGTGACGGGGTACGCGNGAGTTCCGCTTCGTTCTTGACGTTAACCGCCTCCGGGCGCGGGTAGAGGAGCCATGTTGAAAGCTGGAAACGGTGAGGCTGCACGGCCCACCATCTTGGGTAGTGGCAAAGATGCCCTCCCAGTGCGTGACTCAATTTGTGGAAATCTCTGCCCTGGAGAGGTGCTGAAGTAGTGCCGTAGATTTTTCTCCAAGAGTCGCTTGTTACCATTAGTTGCCTGGCAGAAAGAGGTGTCCGCCCATCGGGAATCCCAAATTGGGTACCTACAGGAAGCGTATAATCCAGTCGTGGGCACCGCTGATTTTAACCCTCCGGAGTCTAAACGTTAAAAGTGCCCAGCCTGATATATTGCCTGACAGCACCTCTTTTTCTCGGATTTTACAGAACGCCACCTGTTGAAATATTTTGCCTCACTTTCAGCGTCTATTCGATCATCTTTTT